TCTCCTAAGATGTCCTTGGCTAAAACTTCCTTTCTTTTCCTTCTAGGCGCTGCAGTTCCTGCGGGAGAATTCCTCCAAGTATCACTTCAGGCGCACCAAGATGCTGCCCGTTAGCGGGGGCTTCCATACCCGCCTCATGGAGCCGGCCTTGGAGCCCCTCGAACAAGTTCTAAAGTCGATCGGTGTCAGGAAGCCTCTGGTGTCCGTCCACTCAAACGTCGACGGGAACAGATACATGCACCCCAGACACATCCAGAAGCTGCTGGTGCGGCAGGTGGTCTCCCCGGTGAAGTGGGAGCAGACGATGCATGCCATTTACGAGAGGAAGAGGGGCACGGAGTTCCCCCAGACTTTCGAGGTGGGGCCTGGGAAGCAGCTGGGAGCCGTCCTGAAGAGCTGCAACCTGCAGGCCTGGAGGTCGTACCAGCACGTGGAGGTGCTGGAGGATGACGGGACCTAGATCAGGCCCCCCGCCCCCACGGTGGGAGCTCCTGGTGCCTGGGATGGCAGGGGCACAGCTTAGGAGGGAGAAGGGGACCCAGTTGGCGCTGCAGCGGGCCTGGACCCGCCCCGTCTGTCCCTAGGCCTCCTCGTCCAAATGACTGGGAGGCCCTGTTTGCAAAGTGCTTTGAAGGCCACATAAAAAGCCCGAAAGCAAGTATTTCTTGACCTGCCGAGGTCTGTTTCTTCCCCTGAGATGTGTTCCAGGGCTGGTGGGGGGGGAAGCCGCAGCAGGGCCAGAGAGTTCCAGGGACCCCGGAGGCAGACCTCATACCTCTGGGCTCCTTTGTAAAACAGGCTGAGACCACCTGGCCGGCAGGTGTGCTCAGGAGGCTGGGAAGGCTCAGCCTGTGGCCTGTCGCGCCCTACCGCATCACCACGTGGGGACCACAGGCATACTGGCGTGGCCACCAGGCAGGCCAGTGCCAGAGGGGCCCCACTGCCCCACGAGCCCATGCGCCCCCACAGCCGGAATCTCAGCCCTTTCGTCACCGAAAGCAAAGGGCTTCCAGATGTAGCTGGCCTTGGCGGCCATTCTGTCCACCCCACACTCAATCGCTGGGAGACTCCGTCCTACACTGGTTTATCTTCCCAACAGCCAGTACTGAGCGCCTGCCGGCTACCTGTGAGGGAGTGGCCTCCCCCCTTGGGGGGAAGAGATCCTTAGCCAGGTAGGAAGGGTTTAAGGAGGCTGGCTGAGGGCCCTGTTTCCCTGCAGACGGTGATCGCTAAGGGTCTGCTCCGTGCCTGTGACCTCCCATGGCACAGCCACACCCCGGGAGTCGACGAAGGTTCTGGACATGTGCGGCTCCGCTGATAACAAGGAGAAGTCACGTTCTGGACATCTCAGTGGCTTTTTCACCCGTCAGCGATAGTGGGAAACTCGTCCGGGTGTGAGATCTCTGTGTTTGTCCATAAATGTTGGCTGTGGTGTAGACACCTGTCAAATCCAGGGTAGGTTTCGCATTTTCAGTTCTGCAGGGTTTCTCAGCAGGGGCGCCGTCAGCCTCTGCACAGTACTGGCCTTCGTTGCGTGGGACTGTCACTCACAGTGTGGGCCGCTGTCCTGGCTCCCGGCCACTCTGCGCCAGGAGCCCTTCCAGATGTCATGACCTCCCCACATGCCCACGTGTGTCCACAGCCCTGGCCGAGAGCCCTGCATAGGACGAGGGAAACATCTTTCCCATGGCCTGAGTCTGCGTTCTCTGGAGTTCAGTGGAGAACGATCTCTTAAAACTTCCATTTTAAGAAATTTTCAAACATTCGCAAAGAAACTTGCTATTATTATTTTTGGTGGGCAGCAAAGCGAAGTTCGGGGAGTAGTACAGAGCTCCCCAAGAGGGAGGGGACCCAGAGGGTTGCCCAAACCTTGCTATTATTTTTAAAGAGTGCAGAGTCTGTGGGAACCCTCTTCCGAGCGCTGCGGTAGCCAGCGACCCTGGGACTCTCTGTAGTCTGGGCTCAGGTGCTCTGGCTGTGCTGTGGGCAGGACAGCATCGCAGTCACACTCTGCAGAGCACGGTCCCACGTGAGGGAGCCCCGGAGAAGCGGCGGAGGGTGAGTGTTCCCGCGTGGCAGGCCTTTCTGCTTCTCTGGGCACGGCCCTTCTCCTCAGGGCCCGGCCAGGCTCCAGGCCAGAAGAGGGAGAAGGAACAGCAATCAAAGGGCATATGGTGTTGCCTTAAGGTTGGTTCCAGAAAGCTGACGACCGTCTCTGCCAGCACTGCAGGGGCCGCCCAGCGGGGGAACAAAGGTGCGGGCAGGCAGCGTTCACCTCCACTGTGGGAGCCCTGGGTGGGGTAGATGGGCCCTCGCCCCCCCCCCCACCCCTGCAGACTTTGAGTCTGGGTGAGTGGCAGAAGCACGGGGTGGAGAGGGGAGTTCTGGGGGGGCCCAGGGCAAGGGCCTGTTCCTTGGTAGCATCTGCCCCCTTGAGGAGACCACCCCGCGCCACCATCGTTCCCATGGTGCCGGCCCGCCCCAAGGTAGGAATCACAGCTGCCACCACGTTTGTGTCCCACGCCCGTGGAGACCCTGGGCTCGTTTCTCTTCCCAGCGGCTTGCCTCCCTCAGCCAGCCCAGACCTGGGTGCCTGGAATGAGTGGGTTTCCCTAGGCACGTGCTCTCTGAGAATCAGCTCTTGCCTCCTCATCTCCAGAAATCTTGACTGGACCAAGGGCCGTGATCAAAAGCCTCTAAAACCTCGAAGATGATGGGCCCCTCATGCCCCCGCAGCCTTGTCACCTCCTCTGGGAAGGGGCTTCACTGTTTCCAGTGGCCTCCACCCCAGGCTCCCAGAGGGTAGGGGTGTGTGTCCCACCCCCCAGCCCGTGGCAGTGCCCCTGGGCCCCGCTGCAGAGGGGCCACAGGAGATGGGAGCATCCTGGGCTGATGGTCTAGGGATCATGAGGCTGCTGGGTGACCATGTCACCCCTGCCCCCTTCCTAGGAGGGATGGGCCTCCAGTCCTTCCTTTTTGGGGTTGGATGATATCTGCTATCGCTGTTGCTAAACACCTGTTTGCAGCTTGTGGAAGTTGCCACGTGGACCAGCCAGGCTGGGTCTGACCGTGACCCTTTCCCCATCTGGGCCTTGGTCTCACCACCCCCCACAGGCTGGACTGGAAGGCATCAGTGAGCAGAAGATCCCAGGCTGGTTGGGGTCAGAGGACCCCAGTGCCACTCTGGTCTGACCCCTTTCTTTTCTGGGCCTCAGTTTCCCCCTTGCAGGCTGGGCCGTCTTGAGCAGATCAGTCAAGTGCCAGCTCCACGTCGGCTTTGCGGGTCAGGAGGCTGCCCCTCGTGTGGGGGTACAGAAGCTGGCAAGCTCCTCACGGCCCCGGGGTGCGCATGAACAGACAAGACGGTCGATCAGACTCCAGCCCAAGCTGGTTTATCCACCCTCATGCTCAGGCAGGTCTCCCACCCCAGGGCCTTTGTATGTGCTGCTCCCCTAGCACTAAGGAGGACACTTATCTATCCTTCATTCTCTCCACAGCCAGCTCCACAGGCCTGGGCCTCCGGTCTTACCCACCCCCCCCCCCATTTTCTCAGTCCTTTATTGCTCTCAGAACACAGCCCCCAGTTCTTAGCTTCTTTGTGTGCTTTTTAAATAGAATGTGAGATTTGAGGGACCATATCTCCACAACCCCAGAACCCGTGGCCAAGCTTAGCAAAGTAGGGGCTCCTCTGACATCCATGGGTGGGAAGAATGTTGCAAATCCTAGGACACTTGGGGAGAGGGTCCCCAGATTCCTGCCAAGAGAAGACATGGCATCAGCATCTCCATTCCCTCCACTCTGAAGAGCCCCAAGCTCCTTGAGAAGCCACGGCGGCCCCAGCCACACTGAGAAAGGGGTGGGCACATGGGCAGTTTGACCCGAGTGCATGGGAGCAAGCTGCTCCCGGGTGGTTAGGGAGGACTTCCTGGAAGAGGTTCATCTGGGTTTGGCCTCCCCACATCCCCAGCTACGGATTCTCCAGTGGATCCCCAGGGCCTAGGGGTCAGTGCAGCCACACAGGAAAGCCCTGGGTCACTTCCAGGTCTATAAACTTGGTGGGTATCTGTCCAGGGGTGGAGTGTCCTTTGGGTGGAGCAGGATGTCAGGATGGAACATTCCCAGCAAGGACCTGGGAACTGGCAGGCTCTGGGCTCGCCCTGTGAGGCTTGGGGAGGGCCTGACATAGCCCCACGGGACCACTTACACAGGAAAGGAGGTGAAGTCAGGCTGTGAAGGGCCAGACTCTGGAGCACTGGGACATGGAAAGCCCGGCGGTGGCTGGGAGGGTCCCTTCAGTCACGAGGGTCAGAGGGGGCAGCTGGGAGCGTGCAGGACCTGACCGGCCGGGCTGGAGGGTAGCAAGTCACTGCTGCATCAGCTCTGGGGCTGAGTGGAGGGCAGGGAAGGTTCTCCGAATCCAGGACCTGAAGGGGACAGGGAGGAGGCTGCAGAAGGTGGGGACTCACCCCAGCCCAGGGTTGGCTTTTGAGATAGAGGGACTGTTGGGGCGGGGTGGGAGGTCAAGGAGCCAGAGCTCTAGTTCTGGAGAAAGGGCCTGACGGGGTCTAGGAACAGCACTAGGCCCAGGTCTGGGGCCGGCTGAGCCCGCGCGGTGGGTGCCCCTAGTCTAGTCCCTTCTCCCCAGCACAGCTGTGTGAGTGGCCCCCCAGGCTGCACTGCTCCAGCAGGGAGTGCTGGATGAGCAAATGTGGGGAGGGGAGGCAGCCCAATTATAAGAGCCTGACAGCCCAAAGGAAATAATCCCTAATGGTACATCTCAGGCACGAGGCATGACAAGAGGCGGCGTAAACCTGATTGTGTTGGGCCACACTTCATGACAGCAGGTGCAGGGAAGAGCCCGCAGGTGTGTGATCACGCACAGGTGGCTAGGCGCCCGCCCTGCCCCTTCTCTCCCCTCCCCCTCCCCTCCCCCTTGATTCTCTCGCCGGGGGCAAGAGGCAACCCATGCGACAAACCCCCAGAGAGGACCAGAGACCAGCTGGAAACCAACATTTTATTGAGCTCTCCTCACCCCTCAGAAATCTATTCCAGCAGATTTTCTCTTTGCCCCGGGGCATCACAGACATGGGGGTGTGGCCAGCACTCCCCCCACGGCCCGCCACAGGGCCCCCCAGCGAGAGGAAGCCTCCTTCCCGGGACAGGCCACCACACGTGGGCTGGGGCCAGGAGAGCAGGCCCAGCCAGGCCTTGGCACGGGCAGTTAACCAGCAACGACCCCAGAGGTATAATGAATTCATTTCTCTTACAAAAAGAAAAAGAAAGAAACTAGTATGAAACCTCAGTAGTGTCCCAGCACTCCGTTTTAAATATAAAAAAGGCATCACCAGAAAACCGTTAAAAAGACAACAAACCCAACAAGGCCACCGCCAGGGTGGCAGCCAGGGGGGCGAGGCCAGCCCCGCCCCCCGCCCCCGAGCAGCAGCTGGCGTCACTGGAGGACCTGAAGCCCCCAGCCTAGCAGCAGCACCACCAGCAGCAGCAGGGACAGCACCAGCCCGCGCCCGGGGTTGGGGGACACCTGTGGGATGAAGTGGGGGAGAGGTGAGGCCCTCCAGCCCGGAACAGAGGTGGCTCCTTCCGCGGCTCCTTCTGTGCCCGCTCTGTGGACACAGGGATAAGCCTGCGAGGCTGAGGCCGGGTGGGGAAGGACGAGTCAGGGAAGGTGGGGGACGCAGGAGCATCTCCAAACCGGACCGGTCGGGGACAAAAATCAGGAAGAGCAGCACAGGCAGGTGGGGAGATGGCCGAGGACGTGACAGAGGACAGAGGAGGAGAAGCCAGCCCACCCAGGGTGCTCATCGGCTGGGGACAGTGGGAGCATGAGCTTCGGGGGGGGGGGGGACCGTCCCCGGCGCTGGTGGGAGGGAAGAGGCGTGGTCAGGAAAGCGGCTCAGGAGGAGACGCATCTGCCGGGCAGATGAGTGAGGAGCTGGTCCCAGGGGAGGGAACAGCAGGGAACAGGCGTGGAAGCAGCCAAACACACTGAAGAGTCCCAGCACCGAGTCCGTGAAGCACGGGTCTCAAAGCCCGAGCCCAGCAGAAGGGGGGAAGCGGGCAGGACGACAGGGACGGGTAGGGTCTGTGGCATCCCGCCACTCCAGAGCTGCGAGCAGCACCATGTACAGGAGGTAAGTCAATCTCAAGGTTTAGTTACCCTGTTCCTGAAGGTCAGGAAGCTCCAGATCCGTATGTGCTCCCTGAGGTTAGTGAGACCATCCACGAAACTTCGGAGAACACCTCTCAGGCCCATCTGGTTGTAGGTAAAAGCCAAGCTGTGACAAAGGGGAGGGGGAGCAGGGCCATTACTGTGGGAACAGGGACAGGGCTGCAGCCTTTCCTTTAGGGGACCCCTGTGGGGAGAAGAGGGCTGTGTCCCCCCCACACACTGCCACTCTGTCCCCTTGCTCTGGTGGCTCCGCCAACAAGCGTCTCTCTCCACGGTCATCTGACTTCCTGTTTCCTTCCTCCGCCCACCAGTCCACGGGGGTTTGGTCTGGGGTTCTGAAGCCGGCCATGGGGAAAAGGCTCCACAGTTCACAGGCCCAAGAAGGCAGGTCCTACCCCCTGAAGGACCTTGCTCTGATGGAGGCCTGGGCACCCCAGAAGGCTGCCTCTCCGGGGACCAAGAGACCACGCTGCTGTGGCCCCGGGGTGGGCTCGTACACCCCCAGCCTGAGTGGTCCTGTGAGCATCTGGAAACCCACAGAGATGCTGGCCAACCATGAAAGTACAGTGGGCTCGGGACAGAGGCCACCAAGCAGGACACACAGCTCCGCTGAGCTCGCCACCTTCCCGTCAGCGTTGTAAGTCAAGACCCTTCGGGAAAAGTTCGGTCTTGGTTTGATGAAGCAACAGAGAAAAGCTCTCGGGCTCTGCTGTGCCGCCGCGGTGCAGGGGCGGGGGCTCCCGGCGGAGGGATGCAGGGCTGCCCGGGAGGGGAGCGGTCTCCTCCCAGGGCCTGGGGGCCGCCCACCTGTGCACGGCCATCCCGGGCAGCTCGCCGATGCGGGGCAGCGTCCATCTCACTTCCATCTCGTCCCCGATGAAGGCCAGCCGCATGGCCACATCGTCGGGGTTGCTGCTGCGAGAGGGCGTGGAGAATTAGGGGTGTAGCTGAGCAGTGACGCCCCACACACCTGGGCCTGCCTGGCAGATCGGGCCCCGGGTTTCTGGGAGGCAAGGTGTGGCACAGAGCGAGGTGGGAACCTTCACGCACCCCTCCTCTGGCTCCTGCTTTGCTTCAGAAAAGACCAGCGAGGTCCCATCCCTGGGGGGACTCCACTCCTCTCGTCTTGTGGGAGGGCAGAGACACATGCAGGGCCCGTGAACAGCAGATGCGCCTCCCTGTCACAGCCTTCCTCTCCCTCCAAGGAACACTGAGGGTTGGGGAGCCCTGGGAGAGGCCACCCACCTGGAGGCTTGCCAGGAAAGATGGCAAAGGTGGGCAATGGGGCTGGGAGTGCTGAGGCTCCCGAACCCCCCGGAACTGGGACTGGTTTCCCACAGGGTCTCAATTTTCCCTCCTCCTCATGGGGAGTGATTCTAGGACCTGTTCCCTGTGCCCCCAATCGTGAAACCACCTGCTGTCATCACCCTTTTCAGAAGGGAGGGGCTAACCAGTTCCCTCCTCTCACTGACCGAATCCTGGATGGGAAGGAGGTCTGCACACTCACACCTGACCTCCAGATCCTACACCCTCCAGACTGGCTTCAGTCCTGCTCTCAGGGCTTGGCCCACATTTCATCTGGGAATTTCCAAGTGGACAGGTGTCCCAGTGGCTCCCAGCTCAGCCCCAGCCACCTGTCCAGTCTCTCTGGAGTCCGTGCTCTCTAGTTCAGAGGTGCCGGAAGGTTGGATGGGAGGCTGGGGAGGTCTGGCTGGCAATCTCAGGTGGGGGATTGAGGTCCCACCTCTATCTCAATACCCCGTGGGACCTCAGGAAGACACTGCCCCACGCTGAATGTCCCCTGTTGTCATCTCCAAGTGGAGCAGGACAGGGCAAGAGGCAGATTTTCAGGTCCCTCCAGCTCTAAAATCCCAGCCAGCCCCAATCCCCAGGTCCAGGCCCTAATGCCTAAGAGATTCCTGAGACCTAAAGCAGAAGGGAAGCACCTGGAACCTGGGGCCGGCCCTGGGAAGATCCCCTCTTCACTGTCCCAGCAGCCTGGGCCCCAGACCCTGTGTGTAAAGGGGCTTCCTCAGGCTACTTCTGATTTTCTAAAATTAGAACCGTCTCATCAAGAGGCCTTGATGAAACATCATGGTCAGTGAGGGCCAGGCGATACCCAGTCCTAAAGCCAGAGGTTTAAGCCATTTTGGCGGCAGTGCCCAAGGTCCATCCTGGGAATATGCTGGAACCCGAGGGCTTCTGTGGGCTGACAGCAGCGCCAAGGGGCCGCGCCCAGGGCACCGGCCTCCATGAGCACACCTGGGGAATTTCCGCCCTGGGGCCCTGCTCTTCCAACTGTGCCCCCAAGGTCACTGGCCAGAAATGGGAGTGGGTGGGGCCCGCGGAGTGTTGCTGGGACCTACCTGTTAGGGGAGGGCCCTGGATCATAGTACTCCACGAGATCAGTCATGCCAGGGACCTCCAGCACTTCCGGGCCATGCTCCTGCAGAAAGGTGCTCAGAAAGAGGTTCCTGGGGAGGGGTCCTGTGTGGGACATTTCTTCTCTGGGGGAGAAGAAAGACAGAAAGACAGAGACTGAACCCTCGTGCATCGAAGCCAACTGCGGCTCTCCTGCTCACTTTCCCAGCATGCCTTGCAGCTGGTGGTGGGCATGCAGCCTGGCTCTGGGCAATGGGGTCTCCGAGGTCCGACGTAGGGGTTTTCGGCCAGGGCAGCTCCTCTCCCCCCTTGCTGCCTTCCACACAGGAGGGAAGGCTGGAGCTGCGGCAGCCACTTTGTGACACCAAGGTGCTTAACATTAAGGAAAACCAAGACACCAAGTAAGCAGAGGAGAGAGGGAGGGGGCCCGGCTCTCTGATGACCTTCTCGGACACTTATATTTTTGCAAGTCACGGCCACCCTCGCTGTGTAGGAAAAGTAACACCCGACTCGGTGCGTTTCCAGTTCCTTGCGGCCAGGGGCTCTCCTATGACAACCGTGGATTCCCACGTCAGAATTGTTCCCATCATCCCGAGATAGCAGGGTAGGAGAGTCCGTGACCGAGGTCACCGCAACTTAGCCCACACCATACCGAACAGACTTAGGGCTAGAATATAATGGCGAATATGGAAGCCACAGACAGGAGCTCAAATCCCAGCGGTCACTTAGCACCTGTGTGATGCTGAGGGACCTCTGCACGTCAACCCACTGTCTTATTGTCCCGGGGCTCTTAAAAATTCTGTAATTCTTCACATTAGCCTGCTCTGAGTGGATAGGACCCTCTCATTATCTTGTTGGATCCCTAACCTTCAAGGTAGGTATTCATTAAGATGAGACCTGGAAAAGTTCACGATGAAGCCAAGAAGGGCCAGAGCCAAGTCCCCCTGCTCCCCAGGCCAGGGTGGACAGCGTTCACGTTTGGCAGGACATGCACAGGTGCCCACCGGGGACGCGGGGTGTAGGCGAGAGTGTGCACACGACGTGCTTTCCCCATTAAAGGGTGGTGACTGGAGACGCAGAGCCAGAGCACAAGCTCATGGGGGCGCAGAGGTAACTGTGGACCCTCCAGGTATCTTGGGGCGAGACGAGACAGGACAGTCAACAGGGCATCCAAAACACGATCAAGAGAAATGGACACGCTACGATGTCATTGAGGGCACAGACAGGTATTTCAGGGTCTGGGGTCTTTGAGAAAGGGTATAGAAGAGCAGCACTGTTCCGGAGAGAACATGTGCCCAGAATTTGTCTCAAGAGGGCTGTTTCCATTTCCTAAGGGAAAGCTGGTAAAGTCTCAGGTCTGTTCTAGATGAAAGCCCACCTTGAAAGACAAGCTCTAGCGGGAGTGAGGGCTGGAGAAATCAGACATGTAAACACAGCCACGACAGCCACAAAAGTCCTGTGGCCTGACATACGCCACCCGGACCTGTGAGGGCTGCACCTTCTCCTGCAGGGTCCTGGCGGTGGCGGGGGTCTGACCACCTGCTGAGGGCAGCACCTGCGGGCAGGGCTGAAAAGCGTGCAGGCCTGAGACCCAGCAACGATGCCCCCTCCAAAACCAACAGACCAGAATGAACCAGAACCCCACAGGGAGGAGCAGGTGGCTTTTCTAAAAACCCTCAAATGCCACTAGCAACTTTACTGCAGCACAGGTACTGCTGGGAGCGCGTAACCCTTCTACCTCCGTTCCAGATCTCTAGGCAGTAGTTAAAAGCTATGACCCCAGCCCTAGGGACCCACCTCCAGCCACCCCTAGGCGCTGACACCCTACCCAGCCGTCAGACTTCAGTTTTGCTTGTTTAAAAACAGAAAAAGGAAGGCGCCCGGGTGGCTCAGTCGTTAAGTGTTTGCCTTCGGCTCAGGTCATGATCTCAGGGTCCTGGGATCCAGCCCCACATCGGGCTCCCTGCTGAGCGGGAGGCCTGCTTCTCCCTCTCTCTCTGCTACTCCCCTGCGTGTGTTCCCTCTCTCGCTGTCTCTGTCAAATAAGAAAATAAAAATTGAAAAAACAGTAGTAATAAAATAATAAAAATAGAAAAGGGAGCCTCCACACAGGAGAACAGTGCGGGGTCAGGGCAGCAGCACCAGCACAAACAGCCACAAGCTGACTTCAGTCAGCAAGTTGGAGGAAGCCGCTCTAAGAACAAAAGACAGAGAACATTCAAGCCACCAGAGAACATGTGATCAGTTTGATGAGGCAGAAGAGGATTTCTAGCAGACATGCAATGAGCCTTTATGCAGAAAACACAGAATCACCTTTTGTACTTTTTTTTATAAGATTTTATCAATTTATTTGAGAGAGAGAGAGCAGGTGCATGTGCACTATCCGGGGGGGGGGGCGGAGAGGGAGAAGCAGGCTCCCCGCTGAGCAGGGAGCCCCTGTGGGACTGGATCCCAGGACCTGAGCCAAAAGCAGACACTTAACAGACTAAGCCACCCAGGAGTCCCGAGAATCACTTTTTGGAACCACCAAGAGTTTCAAGGTTGCCAGATACCAGATGGACATATAAAATTCAATAACCACAAGGCAACCAGAAAATACGGTAGCAGACAGACTACGCACGTACAGGTACAGAGGCTTTTAGTCAGGAATGAAATCTGATTTTTTTTTTTTAAATGCTCTGGGGCGCCTGGGTGGCTCAGTGGGTTAAAGCCTCTGCCTTCGGCTCGGGTCATGATTCCAGGGTCCTGGATGGAGCCCTGCATCGGGCTCTCTGCTCAGTGGGGAGTCTGCTTCCCCCTCTCTCTGCCTGCCTCTCTGCCTGCTTGTGATCTCTATCAAATAAGTAAAATCTTTTAAAAAAATGCTTTAAAACTTACGGAGAAAAACATAAAACTCTATCGAAGGATTTAAAGGGTATAACGGAGCAAGACAGAAACTGTGACACTGCACAGGGAGTGCATGCTGGGGGTCTGGGTGCCCTTGAGCTCCAAGGGTAGCATTTAAGGACTGGGGACAGAGCTCCCACCTCTGTTGCCCCCAGGCCCTAGGGGGCTTGATAACTATGCAAATGGCAATTTCCCAGGAAAAGCAGTCCCAGCCTTCCTTTGCATGCGCCCCTGGCCCCCGTGCCCTCCACACCAGCCCCAGGCTCTGCGCCTGGACGTGGCCTCTGAGCCGCCTCTTGACCTATGGTCCAAACATCTCTCGGCCTCCAGCAGAGACAGTCCCAGAATCCCTGGACACCAAGTGGGAATGGGGCCCGAGATCCGTGTCTGACAAGCCCCAGGGCTGGGTGAGCAGTGGGGTGGTGCCTCCCCCATACACAGCTGGGGGGATCCTGCATGGGTTAACCTTCTAACCCAACCACTCACTTGAGCTGCAGTGGGAATCTTGGGCGAGGCCTCCAGTTTCATCCGTTAAATGGGAAGAATAATCCCAAAGTAATGGGGTTCATTTTTCTGTTAAGAACCAGCATCAACCACGTTCTGACCCTGGCTGAGTTTTTTGCACCCACCTCATTGGGCCCTAATCCAAGCCCTGGGTAAGGTTCTCACAAAAGACTGACCAGCCCGGCCTGGGCTGGCCTTGGGGCTCAAGGTCTTGAGTGGGAGAAATCAGAGTGTGGCCACAGAGCTGGCAGCAAGGTCCCTGCAGCCGGCCCACCACGCCATGGCAGGCCAGCGCCGGTCCCTTCCTGTCCAGCTCTACTGCAGCTGCCCGGTCTCCAGTCCCCGCTGGACCCCCTCCAATCTGACCTGGTCATTGCTCCACTCGGGGGTCGTGTCATGCTGCTATCAGGGCCCTTTTCCCCTGGCCACCTCCCCAGCCCCAACCCTGCCCAACCCCATCTCAGGCCCTGCTCCCACCGCACTCCAGGTGCGTGCTTCTGTGAGCCGAGCGCGGATAGGTCAGGCCCCCACCCCTGCTGCTGGCCGGCCAACCTGTCCCCTTTGTCCACACCCTCCTATTGGTCGCCAAGGAACTCAGCCCTGACCCTGCCTTCCTAGCTCACCTAGGAAGCCCCCCAGCCTCCCCCTCCCATCTCTAACCGACCCCACGGTGGGGTGATCTTTCTCCCTCTGTGGTAGCTTAGAGCACGGACACTCTCTGTGCCCCCCGCTTCTTCCCTTCCACGTGAGGATACTAGGAATGCACGTCCCCGGGAGCTGTGAGGACAACGTGATGGAACCTGTCTTAGCGCCCCCAACCCCGGAAGGCAACAAACCAGGAGCTGCCGGTGTTACTCGGCTCCGGCCCCCAGCCCACAACACAGAGCACGTTTGTCAAATGGCCCAACACGGCCCAGCACCGAGGAAGCTGCCGGCCGGGGAGCCCGCACTGCTTTGAAGCATCTAAGCATCTTTTTTTTTTTTTTTCCCCCAGCAGATTTGCGAAGAAGCAGTTTCAGACCATTCTTGGGTGAAAGAAGGCGCACCTAGCCGGTGTCCCCACCCCGGCAGCAGCCCCCCCGCGCGCAGCCGCCGACACACTCTGTGGAGAGAGCCCACGGGGTGCCTGGGTGGCTCAGTCGGTTAAGTGTCTGCCGGGGGCCCGGGATCAAGAAAGCCTCAGTCAGGCTCCCTGACTCTCAAATAAGTAAAATCTTAAAAAAAAAAAAAAAAAAAAAAAAAAGCCGTCAGGAACACGCTCTTACCCACAGAGCTCAGGATGCCCACCCCACCTCTGGGCGGAAGAAAGTCGCCTGCACAGCCACAGGGACACTGTGGGGCTGGGAGATGGAGAGAGAGGCCAGGCTCCCAACCTCCTGTGTGCACTTTCCCATGACGTATGACCTCCCCTACATGTAACAGCGTGGGGACAGGTGCATACTCTGTCTCCCCCAGCCCAGCCTGTGTGTCCCCGCATGCTGGCGGCCAAGCAGGAACAGCTGGTGACACCTGGGGGCTCCAGCAACAGCACCTGGTCCCTAAAGTCCTGGGTGCCAGGCCAGCGGCTGCTAGGTGGACCCAGCTGAGACCTAGCCACCAGATTTTTCCACGGAAGCTTCCCACCCACACCTGCCCCCCCCACCAGCCCACCGCTGTGGGGGACGGGGGTGGTGCACTGGTTTAGGGAGCACCCAGGTGTCACATCGTAGGTGTGCTTGAGCAGCAAAGCCCAGACCTCAGCAAGACAGACCCAGGCTCCAGTCCCAGCTCTGAGGTGCCACAGCCACCAGATTCTGAGCCTAACTCAGAGAGGGGTGGAAATAGCACAGCCTCCCAGAGCTAAGAGGATTAAGAGATATGGATGCTGCCCACTTCCTGCCACCCAGCAGGGGCTCCAAGGCTGGCTAAGGCATCAACAAACGCAGAGTGGGAGACAGGAGCCACTGAAGTCCCAAGTGCACCTACCCCTGACTTCTAGGGTGCATCCTGCATGTTCTGCTGCAGGTACCCGGTGGCCATGAAAACGGTGAGCAGGGGTCTGTAGGCGTTCCCGTGCAGGGACCTGGAAGTCAAGTGGCTCCTCGCACAGGTCTGTAATCGTGCGGCCATATGTGCATATAAAGGACGTAACAGACAAACACCTCCATCTGCAGAGGTCATCTCCTGAAGAGGCGGGAGGTTAGGAGAGAAGGGGTCTCTCTGGGACACACTTGGGAAGGAGCCTGAATTTGTAACTCTGTGCTCTCGGGTTCTTGAACTTTTACTACCGTGCACGTGCTGGGTTCGTGGATTCCAAAAATACAGCAAGGGGCACCTGGGTGAGCCAGCTGGTGGGGCATCCGCCTTCGGTTCAGGTCGTGATCCCAGGGGCCTAGGATGGAGCCCCGCATCAGGCTCCCTACTCGGCGGAAGCCTGCCTCTCTCTCTCCCACTCCCCCTGCTTGTGTTCCCTCTCTTGCTGTGTCTGTGTGTCAAATAAATAAATCTTAAAGAAAGCTGAAGTTGCAATAAAGTTTCTTTAAAAAAAAATTTACTTTAGAGAGAGATGTATGACCAGGGAGAGGGACAGAGGGAGAGGTAGAGAATATTAAGCCAAATCCATGCTGAGCAGGGAGTCCGATGGTGGGGGCTCAATCCCAGGACCCTGAGATCATGACCTGAGCTGAAACCATACGGCAGATGCTTAACCAACTGAGCCACCCAGGCACCCCTGGAAAAGGTCTGTCTTAAAGGTCTATTTCAGGAATCAAGCCACCCCCCCTCCCCAGCCTGTCCCCACCTGGTGGGGAAGTCCCACCTCCGCCTCCACCTTCAGGAACCCCAGAGGCCTGAAAGTGCTCCTCCCAGGTGGGCGGGGCTCACTTCCCTGGTGATGGAGAAGCAACTGGGGAAAAGACGACGGGGAGTGACAAAGAGGGAGAGAGAAGAAAGGTGTTTCAGGTAAGAAGTTGGAAACTCACCTGTGCTGGGGTGTGGGGGCTGCTCAGTGATTCCGGAGGTTCATCTTGGAATGGGCCCATAGTGCCACAGCCCCTCAATCCTGCCTCCTCACCAGCACTGTGCCCCCCCACCAGAACCCCAGCGCAGGTGCTGGCCTGAGTCACTCGGAACCCAGGTGCTGCAGGCAGAGCCATCCACAGGATGGGTGGGCCCGCCCCTATGGCCTTGGGCAAGGACTGTCCTCTCCCGCCTGCAGGTGACTGCTCCTGGTGACCCCGTGTCCTTATTTGCATCACTCAGCCTAGCCTCCCCCAGAAGTTGCCCCACTTCACAGATGGGGACCCAGGAGGGGGGAGAACGGAAATTCAGAGCCTCCTGACCCTGCAATCACGCTCCCCACCCCAGGGCTCCAAAAGTACACCGCCCAGCAGTGCAGGCTGACAGCAGAATGAAAAGGAAGCCCCCATCCCTCCCCCAGCAAAAAATAGGCGCCTGGGTGGCTCAGTTGGTTAAGTGTCTGCCTTTGG